CACACTTTTTCATATTTGTATATTGTATTAAGTATTATTAAATTTTAATAATTTATTTAAATTAATAGAGTTTTAATACAAGAGTTTGATTTTTAAATACTAACGAAAATTGGCACGAATATCATTGGATTTAATAATGTAAAATGATAATAATAACAACATTGGTAATAATTTCAATTATATTAAAATAAAATATTGATTTTGTTGGCTCGAGGCCAGGGGCTATATTTATTATATAATCAACAATAAATACAATAATTGTTTTTCAAGCTGCGCTCTTTGATATATATAAAATAAAATATTTTATTTTTTTACATTTTTAACTTTCATAAATTGAAGCCAAGACCTCGAGCCATAACGCTAAAAATAATAATAATAATAATAATAATACCCGAAATACCGATACCCTGATCCCTCTTGTACGAGCTTCCTCAGTTGGACTCGAACCTGAAACCAAGAAACTACTTGCTACCGCCTCTACTTTGCAGCCATTAACTAACGTGTTTAATCTCTTAAACTTTAGTTGTTACTTTAACCTATATTTATTTGCTTAATATTTGTTCCAAAAAAGTTAGCTCGGGAGTTAAGCACTTTCTAATTAAAAAGTAAATACACAGCTAAAACCATTCCATTCTCAACTAATATGCTTAATGAAATATATTCCTAAAGATATGCAGATCTGATCTATGAGCGTTTCTGCAGGGTTGAATCGACTTTCAAATGTCACGGAAACAATTAAACAGGGTATTTAATGCTCGAATTGGCAAATCTAAAATTTTTATGAGGCGCTCAAAAACGAGAACAAAACATTTGTTTCGTGTGGTTCGTTTGGATTTGTGCCACGCCCGCGTATTTATTTTATGGCGCCAGACATTTGGCTAATGGCTGCAACACGATGTTGCCACACACAAAAGGTCAACTGCACAAACTCAAAGACGCGAGGCGACTTTAATTTATCGAAAAACCGACAACACACAGATACAATCAGACCTTGGGCTGGGGAAATGGTTGCAAAGCCTCCCACCTAGTTACACAAGAAAACACTTAAGAGTTGAAGCTGTGAAATGTTTTTCACAATTTTCTGTTAATCAAATTCTGTTGCAATTATATTTAGGAATCTCTTTAATATGTAACACTTAAAGTACAAGTACAGTTTTCTTGGCTAATTTCATGTATATATATAGATGTGTATATACAGGTATATATATAACAGACAGCTGTCTCTCCAACCTGAGCCAATTTATCAATAAAGTGACGCCAGTCGTGGCAACCCTCTTCAACTCATCAATTAAAACTATGGACTTATATACACCAGCTGGAAAAACAGGCGCAACGTCAACGTTTCAGTTTAACGAAAACACAAATATAGGCAGTCCACTCCCCTTCCCAAACGCCAACCGCACCATCGACTCCCCATCTCCTGCTACCCGGCACACGCTAACCGAATTGTTTTCGTTGCCTCGTTTACCCTTTGACTTTCAGAGTTCGTTTTTGGCTGTTGTTGTGTATCTTTTAAGCAGGCGAAATTCGCAAAAATTCTGAAAGCGAACGCAAACAAAACAAACAAATAGACGGCGCCTTATGGCAAGGGGGGCTGTGGGATGTTGTGGGGGTGGTTCCCCGTTGCCCAACCCTTATACAGTTGACCTTTGCACAGTCAAGCTGATGGCTGACTGCCATCCCAGCCCAAGCCCCGTACACCTGCTCACCTGTGTGCCAGCGTCCTTGTCATCATCATCATCATCATCGTATCGTTAGAGTTACCCCCATGACCCCCTGACCCGACTACTCCGCTACTCTCATACCATCACTGTTTATGCCTTGCTGCAAACTTTGAAAATTGTAATTTAATTTGAATGTCATTAAAATTTGTGCGGCGTAAGTTAAGACCCGCTGCAACCCGCACCCCATCCCTCCGCTCTTGTTTTTACCCTTTCTTGTATATAATTCCTAGCAAAATATAATACACAAAGCATTAAGACTAACATGCTGTAATCAAGGTTAGAAAAACATGTTGAATCTCGCTGGTTCAAAACCCGAATTTCTGTCTTTTTTTTGACATTTGGAACATGACCTCGAGCCATACTAGATGCGCATAAAAATGTAACCTAGATCGAAGCCAAAATGAAAATTTTTATTTTTTCAGTTTAGATCGTTTTCAATGTGAATAAAAACCGAGTTGGTTCGAACGGTGAGCCGAGCTGCCGAGAATTAAATTTATTTTCTTGCAGTCGAGATTATATTAAGAGCCACACGATCTTACATTTCATATCATATAAATATATAGAGTTCGCCTCTTCGTCCTTTTTTCTATTATGGGAAATTTAATCAAAATGTTGCTGGCACAGCTAAAGTTGAGAGCATAAATTGTGTGTGGCATAAAAATTAAATAAAATAAATGAAACTTAATTTCAAAACTGACGTCTTGTCTCCCTCCTTGCCGTGATAAACCCCTCTAAGCCCCCCCCTTGGCTCATACTGTTCTCATAAAAAAATGCGCATTTTGATGAAAAAGTTTTTAGTGAAGCTAGCAAGTGGAAGCACAGCAAACGAAGCGGAAAAACTGCTGCAACCGCAAGAAATTAAGAAAATATTCACTTAGGCACTCGGCGCCTTATCTGCGGGCGAACAGCCGCGACAGGCGCAGACGCTTCTTGCCACTCGGCTAAAATCCACAACAAACAGAAAATAAATGAAAAAATAAGAAGAAAGAAAAACTAAATGCGTTCTGAAACGACTTTGCCTGGAATTGAAAGTTTGCAACTGTCAAGTGCAACAGTGACTGAAAAAAGAAAAATCCAACGTGAAGTCTGGCATTCACGAGCAGCTTGTTTCAAGAATTCCAATTGACTTAATTTAAGAGAAATGCAGTCGACTTCTAATCACATTTTAATTGTGCTGCAAAACAATATTTTAACAAGCGCGGCGCCAGGAAGCAGTAGCAGTAGACACTGGCTCGGCGACCACCAAGAGCTATTATACATATATATACATATATATGCATGCATAAACCTCTGTACCTAATGGGCTGCCATCATGCAATCTAGCTGCTGGCTCAAGGACAAGGCAGGGGCAGTCAATACGAAATGCTCCTTGCCACGAAACGGAAATAGGAAACCTCGACTGCAGCCTCTGATGATGTGTGTATGTTGCAGCATTCGGGAATTACTCTAGAAATGAGTGAAAACGAGACGATTGGAGATAACATATCCTTGTAAAACAAGCTGATAACGTCCTTATGGAAATAATTAAATGAATACTAGATAGATTTCTGACAGGTCTAAATTAAATTGCTCTGCCTTATGCTTAGATTCATAAACTAACTCGCGCGGAGTTAAGTCGTTTCGATTTTCGCACCGACCTCGATTTTGAAAAAAAACCGTGATGCACTTATGATAAAAAAAGGAACTTAAAAAGCATTACAGAAAAAAGTCGCAATAACCATGCTGTTAAAATGCGAATGAATGTGTGTTTGTACATGTATACAGAAATTCTTAAAGATGCTGCGCTATTCAATTTTACAAATATATAATATTTTAGTAGCAACATATCATGTTTCGTGACTCTAGCTCTTATTATTTACCAAAATTTTCCAAAAAACAGGATATCTATATCGATTCTTATCGATTGATTAGAAATTCTGCCTGTTACATACATTTTTAATGGGTTCAAGGTATAAAAGAATGTGCGCTAAATTTGATCTGGCAATTATCTAAGCCATTTAATGATTGGTCCTGGAAGCTGTATAATATGTTAGTCGGATGCTGTCATGGCTAATAGGAGGTTAACAAAGCTGGTAATTCGTTTGAATAAGTTGCCTTGTAATTTGAGATCTATTGTATTTCTATGAGCTCTATGTGATATGTGACAGAGTATGTGTATTCCATATGGTTGCACATAAGGAGAAAACAAGTTTTAAAACACACAAAAAGCAGACAAAAGGACGATCAAATTTAGATAGGCTGGGAATGCAATTGAAAAATAAATATACTTTATAGGGAAAGAGCATATACATAAATAAATGTAAGGCATTTTTAGAAATAGTTCTAGATTTAAAGAAATATATAAGAAAATTAAGTTTTATTATTATTCTAATTTTTATTTTTCAATATCTTATAATTATTTTTATTATTGTCCATATTATCATTATCTCATCTTATTATTATCTTTATTCTTAGTAATTGTGACTTGTCGAAAAAAAAAAAATGTTTTTCTTTGTATCAATATTCCTGTTATTTAAATATAAATTCTTAAAATTCTTAAGAATTGTATTATCACTCCTTATTAAAAGAGCTGGCTTCTTTGGTTTTGTAAATACATCCCTACACGACCCTCACTTTTTGTCCATTTGCCAAACTCCTTCGCCAATAAAAGGGTTTTTTCTTAAAGATGATTCTAGCAAGTTGCTAAGACTGGCCTCAGCATGGATACACTTTGATGTTTATGGTCCTTTTAATGCTGTAATTGACAAGTCAAGTGATATTTATATATATAAATATATATATATATGTATATATATATGTGAATACATTTTACGATGCATGCGCAAAGGACAGAGAAACAGCAGCTTTAGAACGCGATACTCGACACTTGAGTGTGGCCCCGATATTAAACATGTAACAAAATATATATATATATTCAAATATGTATATGTATACGCAAGTGAGTGGTTATATGAGCCAGTGAGTGGGGCTGGGCTGTGGCACTCAAAACTTTGAATGCGAGCCGAGAGCAGAGCGCAGCCTCCAGTTTTCTATGTTTTTTGCTATTTCAACTTTGCTCGATGGGTAAACATGCAACACACAGACACACACGCAGACACAGCAGCGCAAACATACCTAAATATCGTAGCATACAAATGGGGGCAACCGAGTGGCAGCCAAGCCAAGTCAACATGCACTTGTGGCAGCAACAGCAGCAACAGCAGCAGCAGCCAGCTGTGGCAGCTGTGGCAACTGGGAAAACTAAGACAAATAACTTAATGCCTTTTCTATTTGCAGTTCAAACAATAGAGCCGCTGCCACGGGGAGGCGCCACAAAAGTGCAACAGCTGCACAAAAACTGGAAACGAAACGAACTGAAACAAAAGCCCAAAAGTCAAAGTAAACCCAGACAGACAGAGAGGTACAGCGGGCGAGCCAGTGCGAGAGAGAAAGGCAGAGAGTTGCAGAGAGAGAGAGAGAGAGAGAGAGAAACAGAAAGAGTGAACGTGAGAGAGACAGAGTGGGGCAGTGTTGGAAGAATGTGTAGTGCAGAGTCCACACGGCAGCTTCAAGTGGCAACAACAACAACGGCAGCAACAACAAACACAACCGGATAATAAGCATAAGGGGTAACAACAGCAGCAGCAACACCAACAAAAGCTGCAACGAGTGCGTCAAGTATTTGCGATAGGTTGCAGCGGGGCAAGCGCTGGCCTGTGCCAGCAAACAGCAACATAAAATCCAAAGCCCAAAACTTAATCCTAAAACCTAATCCAAAAACCAAACGGAAACAGCAGCAACAGCAACTGCAGCCAGACCGACGTCAAGCGGTGGCAAGTGGCAACAAGGTGACGTCACAGGCCGCTAACTAGGACACTAGCAAATCTCGTTAGCAGCACTCGCATCCTTTGCACCCTTCGCATCCGCTTCCGCATCGACATCCGCGACATGGTCTCTCGGCTGCGTCTCCATTCGCTGGCCGCCGCGCTCTTCGTGCTGTCGCTGCAATTGTCCAGCGTCTGCGGCATCATCGATCGTTTGGTGGTGCAGACCAGTTCCGGGCCGGTGCGTGGCCGTTCGGTGACGGTGCAGGGACGTGAGGTGCATGTCTATACGGGCATACCCTATGCCAAGCCGCCAGTCGATGATTTGCGCTTTCGCAAACCGGTGCCGGCCGAGCCCTGGCACGGCGTTTTGGATGCCACACGCCTCTCGGCCACCTGCGTGCAGGAGCGGTAAGTTGAGCGAATTGCGCTCGTTTAGCTCTGCAGATGTAGTTGACCTAGAATTCGGCATGCAATACTGCCGTTGACCCAACTAGCTGCCAGTGACGTCATTGCGACTGCAATGCATCCAACTGAGAAAATAAATATATATACATATCTAAATTAAGTGCGTGTCTACCCTATGTATTCTACTTACTTGACAATTAGTTGTTTACGCTAAAAACCGAAGAGTACCATATCGAAAATAGTTCGATTAGTGAGCAGCATATTTATTATTTAAAACTTAATTAAATACAAATAATCCTATTAGAATATAGAATAAATTAGAAAAGGAGAGAAAAAAAGTGTTGAAATTTATTGTAGAATATAGACAGGAAAATACACAACAATATCATATTTAATTCTAATAATATATTAAATTGCGATTAATAGTTAGGATAAAGAGATGGTGATAGAAACTTACTGACCAAAGTTTAGAAATAAATGTGCTTCATAATCTTTCTTAATTGGCTTTCGATCCAATTCCCCAAAAAATATTATGGCAATAATATTAACGCAATTATTGATTCTGGAACTGCGTTTCTAGGGCAGTTACTCTCAAACTGTCTTTAAGACATAAGTATCTGATGGGCGTGACCACAAAACTAACAAATTGAAGTTACGTGCCCTAAAAACGGCGCTTAGATTGAGAATCAGAAAAAAGCCAAAAGTGGCCTTAAACCCGAACCAATGAAAGATTATTTAAAGTGGGGTTTTTTATAGATTTTGTTTGTTTTATTTCAATTTTACTGTTTGTATGGTAACGACCTTATTGAAACATATGTGAATATTTACAATACTACTTATTCTAATGTTAAGTCTAACATATTAAAATAAGTCTAAATGCTCCATTGAGTAGGAGAGCGTGCTCGAGGAAATTCTTTAAATTAGGGCTTGGAGTCTCCAGTTCACTTGGAATTGTGCTTAGATGAACAGACAGACCGATAGACGAAAACAATAATATAAGTCATAATATTCTACATATTCTATATATATTATTTTCTTAATTCTGTTTTCGCATGCATTCTACGAATTGCCATAGCTCGCGCATATATTTTAAGTTTCTAGTCGAAAACATCGAACACAGACTGGTAGAAGAAAAATGTCTCTATATTCTATAGAAAAATTTTAAAAGATACAATTTTGAATTTAACCACTTGCACAAAAATCAATAGCATACTTTTTGGGGTAAAATTATACAACCGAAACCCTTTGGCCTTAGACATCTAAAAATGTATACTTAACTATGACTAAATTAACTTAATTAAAGCACAGACTAATTAGAATAACTTTAACCAAATTTCCTTGTCTTAAATTTGTTTTATATTTAACTAAACTAAATTTTAAGTTTTATGAAAAATACAACTTAACTTAAAATATAAATTTAAAGAGCTCCCTTGGGGAGTAGCCTAAAATGTCAAAAAATGCAGACTAAACTGAAAGTTTGTTCAAAATAACATTTAAAGCAATGAAAAATTTGACAAAATTAGGGTATACAAAAATACAGCAATAGAGTAATAAAATTGACAATTATTAGTTCCATCTTACTTTATTTTAATTTAAGCAGATTCGAATCATCGAATTAGATGATATATGTAAATATGCGTACCCTTACTATATATACTAGATGATATTATAAATATATACACATATTATATAGTGTCTCTATTAGTAGACTGCCTTTAGGCCCAAACCCAAATGTTCTCTCTTCACAGTTTGGTCGATATATTTGGAATGTTTAGGCAAGCAGATTGGCAAGCATAGCATTTCAGGAATGACTCAAGTAACTTCTATCTTTGATCAATTTCAGATATACAAAAAGTACTTAATGGAGGGACTAACATGGTATTTTAGTTAACATAAATCAATTAGCCTCGACTGGAACTCAGCTTATTGTGGCCACAAATCAGTCTAATGAATTTCAAAAGCTATTCTCATTTGCCACACACAAAGACATTACGAGTGTGCGTGCGCTTGTGTGTTTGTGTGTGTGGCATAACGGAAATTAGACAAATATAGAGATACAAATGGAGATTGAGAGATATAGAGAAAGAGAAGGACGGACGAACGGAGACAGAGTAGAATCGCCTCTTCCGGTTTGCTATAAATTACTTTTTATGCGAAGTGGCAAAGTTAATTTCAATTGACACGAAACCAAACACACCCACAGAAAACGAACCAAACGGATATGAATTTATTGAATCACACTCAAACACACACTCACAGCCAGCCAGCCAGCCAGTCAGCCAGTCAGCCAGCCAGCCAGAGCAATGCGTAGCGTCCAGTCTTGTTTGAATGCTTGTTTGAATATATGTATATATCGATTCGAGGGACTCAACATTTATAGGGCAAACGAACTATGTTGCTAGTGGAGGAGGGGCGGGACAGGTAATAGGATGTGTACAGATGCGTGTGTGTCTGTGTGTGTGTGCCCTCGAAAAATGGCACAGTGAAAATAAAACAGGCAAATCAGAAGAGTGCAAATAAAAATAAATAACACAGCTGATTACTTTGTCGTAATTGGCACGAGCCTTACAGCTACACTTAGAGAAAAAGTTGCCTTTAATTAAGATCGACGATTAGACAGCCCACAATTAAAAACGAAAACAGCTCCTTTAAGAAAATTATACTTATTTAAAATAAAAATATGCATTTATAGTTCTAAATGGAAGTAGAAGGAAGTAATAATTTATTTAAAAAAAATCCTGATCATGTGCTAAGAAAACAACAAAAACTCTTGATTTAAGTACAAAATATTTATTTCAGGCATTTGCATCAGAGCTTTAAGTACAAGTCAAATTAATTTTTCGGTATTTAAGTATATTAAGGCTGAGGGAATAAATAAAATTAAATAAATTTAAGCACAATACTTAGATCTTTTATTGTAAGACTCTGAATTGATCCGACGTTCTCCCTGCATTCCCTTAGCTATGAATACTTTCCGGGCTTCTCCGGTGAGGAGATCTGGAATCCCAATACCAATGTTTCTGAGGACTGTCTGTATATAAATGTGTGGGCGCCGGCAAAGGCGCGTTTGCGTCATGGACGTGGTGCCAATGGAGCCGAGGTAGGTGCCAGAGAGTCTTTGCATCCTTTCTCCTGATGTAATCCTCTTTTTGTCTCTCCGGCAGCACTCTGGCAACAAGCAGGCCGACACGGAGCATCTCATACACAATGGCAATCCGCAGAACACGACTAACGGGCTGCCCATCCTCATATGGATCTATGGTGGGGGCTTCATGACGGGCTCGGCCACCCTGGATATTTACAATGCCGACATTATGTCTGCCGTGGGCAATGTGATCGTTGCCTCGTTTCAGTATCGCGTGGGCGCATTTGGTTTTCTACATTTGGCGCCAGAAATGCCGGCAGAGTTTGCGGAGGAGGCGCCCGGCAATGTGGGCCTGTGGGATCAGGCCTTGGCCATACGCTGGATAAAGGATAATGCCCATGCCTTTGGCGGGAATCCCGAGTGGATGACATTGTTTGGCGAGTCCGCAGGCTCGAGTTCGGTGAATGCACAGCTCATGTCGCCGGTCACTAAAGGCGTGGTCAAGCGCGGCATGATGCAGTCGGGCACCATGAATGCGCCCTGGAGTCACATGACATCCGCCAAGGCGCTCGAGATTGGCAAATCTCTGATCAATGACTGCAACTGCAATGCCTCCATGCTCAAGGTAATTCAAACAAGCTCTCTATCTGTATCTAAGCTCTAATCATAAATCTCTTCCCCTACAGACCAATCCGGCTCATGTGATGAGCTGCATGCGCGCTGTGGACGCCAAGACCATATCGGTGCAGCAGTGGAATTCCTACTCGGGCATACTCAGCTTCCCATCGGCGCCAACCATTGATGGTGCCTTCTTGCCCGAAGATCCTATGACACTGATGAAGACGGCTGATCTAAAGGATTATGATATTCTCATGGGCAATGTCAGAGATGAGGGTAAGTTTTTGACTAAAGGAAAGGGCAGTTTTCGGCAATCGTATCATAAGAAGGTTAGATTCGATCGGCGGTAGTGCGTGCTTCTTTTCGAAGAATTGGTTCTTCTTTATACCAATTTTGGTGTATCTAGCTCACATGATCTTCGAGCTTTATCGATATTATGAATAATGAAAACTAATAAGCTTCAAACTCATTCTGTGTATTATATACACGAATATGCATTTCAAATTTAAAGTTTCCCGTTTTAGTAGTTGCCGAGGTGAACGAGTTGAGGTCTAGGTCGACTTGTCGATGTGATAGAGAATATATTTACTCTTCTTCCTTTTACATACCTTTGCATCAAAACATGAAACCCATTCAAGATATTTTCACTGAGTTCAGCGTTCAAAAGAAAACCGTAAACTTTTTTAAGCTTGTGCTGCGAAAATCCTTGGGTTAGTTGAATTGTTGCTTACTTTTTCAGCATGTTTTTTACTGTATTCATAGCGTGGACATCAACTTAATCAAACTAGGCTTAAGTATCTGTCCAGTGCTTTTTAAACCCCAGCCCGCTTGCCTGCTCTTGGCTAACAATAGCCTGACACCCTCTCATCAGCCCTTGCCGGATCTCTCCAAGCCTCGCTTCCACATTGTTGCAATTGTATTTTTGGCAACGCCTTTGCTGCTGACGTCAGCAGTGTGCCAAATTTTCGCAAGTGGCAGCTGCGCTTGGCCAAAATGTAGCTGCAACCAGTCGCCATTATGTTCATGCTCAGCCAAACCGCCCACCCCCACGCCCTTTATCACCCCTGCCAGTGTCACATTTGTTGCAGCTGCATCCATTTGTGATTTTATTAGTCTTTGTTTACTTTTTTTCTTTTTTCTGTGCTCTTTGCTGCCATCGCAAGAGCCAAAGCTTTGTTGCCGTCGTTTTATGTTGCCGTCCGTTGTGGGCGTGGCAGCCGTCTCTTGGCCGCTTATTCGTATGCTTTATGGCCCATTGTACATTACTGGCTTACAGAGAAGTTTGCCTGGCTTTCTGTTTGGTTGCCTCACAAAAATGCACTTTGTGTAATGGCTGCGGCTTGTGGCAGCTCACTCGAAACGTGCCACAAATCAAGTAAGCTTTAAGAAAAACTCGACCCAAAGTCAAATTTGTCAACGCAGCTGCAAACAGCAGCCAGCAGCCAGCAGCAGGCGCCTGTAAAAACCGAAGGAAACTTCAGCGCATACGCATGAAATTCACGAGAGGATGCCAGACTCATACACGCAGCACGCCCTCGGGAGGGGCTTTACTCGAATCGGGGGCAATGTCAGGCGGAAGCGCCGAAGCTCTCAGCCATGCGGAGCGGCATCATAAATTATTTAAATATATACCGTTAGCTGCAACGGAGTCCAGCATGTTGCACCCACTAAATGATGGGGCACGTGCTGCAGCTACTGCTCTAAGGTCTGCCCAGGGGCTAGGGGCATGGCTGCTCAATATATCACAGTTAAAATAGGGACAAAAAATAAATTCAGGAGCATTTCGAGTAGTCTTTAAAGAGTATTTGTTTACTTGGTTATAGAAAATATATAAATTTTAATGAATTAGTTAATAAATTGATATAATGACTACAGTTGTCAGACGGAATATAAAATGGGGAGTATTTGTAGTACACTTTAACGAATATTTATTTTTGCTTGATGAGTTAATGAATTAATGGGTTAATGAAAAAAGCTGTTCAATGAAATGTATAACAAATAGAGACTTAAATGAGAGGCATTTGGAGTCCACTTTAAAGAGTATTTGTTTTCCAATAGGAAATTATACATTTTAATTAATTAGCTTGAAATGTGCCTAACAAAGTGTATAACATTTCCATTGAAATTAAATATTAATTTATTTAATTTCAACAAAAAAAAACTTTTATAATATGCACAATTCGAATGCATTTAATGCTTGAATAAACAAAATATTCGTTTTTAATTTAACACCCATAAAGTATAAAAAGATGATTTTGTGTGGAGTCCCAAAAAGTGAATTAAATAATAATTGAAGAAACAGCTAGTGTGATGCATTTCACACAATAAAATAAAACACCTCATAGCATAGATGAAAATTTGAATATTCAAGTAAAAAATTTATTATATTAGTTCTGATTCAAATCAGAACTAATTTTGCGAATTTAAAGACATTTGACAAATTTGTGTTCATGTTACGATTATGTTGTGTTTTAATGATTATGTTATGTTATGATTATTTTATGCTATTATAATGTTATGTTATGAGTAAGTCAATTGTTTTTAACGAGCCTTAAAGCAACTTAACTAAGTCAAAATATTTAATCTAAGTAAAAAGTATTCGATATTAAATTCCTTTTTATTTGTAATGCCATCTCACTCTGGCACACTTAAAGTACTGTTTGATTTTTAAGCTCCCAACAAATGTGTATTTAATTGAAATCGAAATATTCGCTCAAGCCGAAAAGAATGCAACGATTTTTTCTTCATACTTGAGCGCCTCTGCCCGTTCGGCTTGGGCGGCGTCGGCTGCTGCGTTTCCCACCATTTATTGCGTGTGCGTTTGTGTGTTGTCCTCGTCCTAACGGTAATGCTTGAGCTTTGTGTGCATTGTTCGCATTATTCGTGCCAAGCCGCGCGCTATTTAAAAAATTTCCGTTCGTTTTGCTTTCTCTTTCTCATATTTTTTTTTTTTTTTTTTGCGAACTTTACGTTTGTGTATGTCGGGTTTTGTTTTCGTATAACAGATTCTCTTGCGCTTTGTGTGCGTTTTCTTTAGATTCGCTTCGCTTTCATTTTTTTGTTACCATTGCTGCTTCGTCATTTCCAGGCGGCAGGCACCGAAGCACACAAGCATACACACACAGACACGTGAACACTCGCACACTCACACAGTCACACACACACAGTCACACACACACACACACACGTAGAGCGACATAAGCACTGGCACTGACACACAAGACTCGGGGCACTGGCGCTACAGACACGTGCGCTTTTCTGCTCACTTTCACTCATTGCTTGCAGCTCCTGCTGCCACTCTCTCTCTCTCTCTCTGTCTTTCTCTGTCTCGCTCGCTCTTTCGCAGACTTTTTCTCGCTCGCTTATATTGTCGTGTTATTGTTTTTGTTTTTGCTGCATATTACAGCCACTGGCGCTGCTGCTGCTGCTGTTTCTAGCTAAGGTGTGCGTGCCCACAAGACGACCACAAGGCAAGCTACGGTTCGCATATAACTGTTCCTCAATGCCTGTGTGTGCGTCTGTGTGTTTGCGTTTGAGTGCTTGTGAGTTCAAGGTCATCTAGCATTTGAAACAAAACACAATAGATTACAATGCGCCGCACATATAAGAAACATCTTAATTTTGTTGCTGGCTTCACACTTTAAAGCTGCTGTTAATTTCACAGAACTAACTAACTCAATAAAACCACATTCAAACCAGGCTTTTTTTTATTCATATAACTTAAAGTAACTTTTCACATCATTTTGATTATAACTCTTATTATTATTATAATTGTTTGAAAGTTTTCAAAATATTTTTTTATGATGGAGCGTATTTATTTAAATATATATTTTGGTGCTGGTTTTAGCGACCTTTCTATATTTGAATTATTTTGTGTCTTATTTATATTTTTTTGATGCAAACAAAATTCATTCTCTATATTTATTTTGATTGTATAAAATTTAAAAAACTCTGTTTTTCACAGTATCTCTCTGTTCAAAATATTGTCATATTTTTCCTTGTGGAAAAATGTCTGCACCTTCCGCAAATTCACATCTCCTACACATTCTAATTTTTATTTAATTGAGACCTCGTCATATAATGCAACAATGACCTTAGGCATTTGCAAAACGTCGCTTATAGTAATTTACCCCAACCTTATTGCATTTGGTATCATTATAAAACGTTTGCGTAACTGATGGAAATTCTATTTAAAAGCTACTTAGCCAAATGTTTGTTCCCAGAAAGCAGTCGAATCGGATATAATACATGCCCTCGAGCTGCATGACTGTAACTCAAATGTCAACACTTAACTCACGCACAGTGGGCAGAGCCACAATAAATGCTATGAAAGTGGGAATACTCACATTTATTTTCACAAATAAAAAGGTTCGTTCTGTATGACTGAGGGATTGTTGATAAAAGCACAGCCAGGAAGCTTAGAAAACCTAACTATTTTACAGTTCTTACCTGCCAAGATGGAGTGTTGCACGATTCCATCCGCTAAGGTAGAAACAAAATTATTGTTTGATGTAAACTTTAATTGTTTTATTCTCCCAATAAAAATATATTTAAGGCATGTTTCACCATTTGCCGGTAATATGTTGATTCCAAGGAATTCTGTTAAAATCTGCTGTAGTATAGGTATTAAGTATTTTGGAACCTGTCCATATATTTTTTTGCTTTATTCAATTTGCACAGAGCTCTGCACCACTGTGCGTGCGGCGTGAGACTTTCATAATTGCCTGCAATTTGAGGACAATTTCTTTAAACGATGCTCGATGCTAAGTATGATAAAATTAAAAATTAATTAATGGCATATAGTGGAGTATGTGTGTGTGTGTGTGGGATTTTTGCGTTTTGCGTTATGCGCATGTTTTTGCATAGTATTTGGGGCTTGAACCAAAATAAAAATCAAACAACAACAAATTGGTTTCAGACAAACTTATTGTTGGGTGTTGGTGTGGGAAGGCGTGGGGATGACACACATTTCACAGCCATATAGACACACACATGCACATGCACACACATGCGCGCAAACACACACACACACACACACACACACATGCACAGATATTGGCAGGCAGTCTATTGTTGCTGTCACTGTTGCTGTTGTCGTTGGCTCATAGGCAGCAATTATGGCTCGTTAGTGTGTTCGTATTTGAAGTGTGCCGGAGACAATGCCAGCGGCAACAACAACAAAAACAACAGCTAACAGAACACAAGCAACGACAACAACAAGTGCCATAAAAATTAAGTTAATAAAAGGCAACGAGACGCTTTGTTCTCGCCCTTGTTGTGGCTGTTGTTGTTGTTGCTTTTGTTTTTGTTATGGTTGATTTTGTTTATTCTATTTTACCCTTTGTGCACCTGTACAACACACATTGTTGTAATACCCTGTACCCATCGAAAATGGCCAAAAACAAGGGGGATTGCGACAATTGTATAAAACAGACAGAGAGAGAGAGAGAGATCTCCGAATGTGTGCCGAATGAAGGACCTCATATTGCACGCGTAGATAAAGGTTGCTTAAAATCATAAATAATGATGGGAGCATCCCCCCAAAATGAAAAAAAAAATCATTTAAAGAGTTTCAGTGTACTTGTGCTTGCCATGAAATTTGTTTTTAAGCCTCGGACTAGAAATGTCGCAATTATAGAAAAATGTAGTACCGTGGAATTGAGGGCAAAAGCGGCACAGTTGCCGCTGACGTAAATCAGTGCTGGGTCTGCACCTAGGGTATCACTTAGTCGGTCACGCACGGCTGGAGTACTTTCGCTTATTGTCCTGTTGTCATGGCTTTGGTTAATGCATCGTTTGGTGTCCTTGGCACGGTTCGTTGATTGCGCCCCCGCGGCAATTTCTAGTGGCAATTGTTTTTCGACTTGCCCCATCGTCAGTTGGCATACATACTTATTATCTGGCCAGTCAAGTTTTAATCATCCCCATCTCTCTCACTTTCCATGCAGGCACCTATTTCTTGCTGTACGATTTCATCGATTACTTTGATAAGGATGATGCCACCGCGCTGCCACGTGACAAGTATCTGGAGATTATGAATAACATATTTGGCAAGGCAACGCAGGCGGAACGCGAGGCCATCATATTTCAGGTGAGTCACACACACATATACACACTCTTAAACACACGCATACATATGCGACTGTGTCTGACGTCTGTCTAAACTCAATTGAGGCCAAAACGCATCATTGGCTTTGGCTGCCATTGTTGGCAGCTGTCAACTGCAGCCAAGTTGTGCCGCTTGTAACCACACACAACTTTGCCGCTGCCGCTGATGCTGCCGCTGTGTGTTGCAGTTGCAAATAGTGGCAGTAACCGGCCACCCCCTAACCGAAACATACGGACAGCCCACAAACAGCAGCTGCGTAAACGAGTTAAAAGTGCCGTCAATTTGATAAAATTGCATTACGCAACTTTATTCACTTTATTTGCACTGCGGCGCGGAAATTGAATTAAAGCCGCGCTGCATGTTCATTCAATAGCGAAATTGTAGATAAGAAATAAACCAGATATGGCACACAATCAGCTGCGATAATTGAAAGCATGCAATCAGCAAATACATAAGAATTAAGAATTAAAAGCTGGCGGCATGCAATCCAATTTGTTTTTTAATGAAATCAAAGAGATTCAGTCCATTTTCCATTCTCGGCAGATCTGAGATTTCCAGTCAAATAGGCCAATTCCGGCGAGGGATAATATTTCCGTGATAATCCACATAGATCAGTGCATCTTATATTTTGCTAAAAAGGTTATTTAAAATAAATAATTATATTCACCTGAATTCAAGTTGAGATTCTGCCTGAACCAAATTCGAAATAGCACAAAATTTTGTTTATTAATTAAACTCATAATTAATAATAAATAATATTATTACTGCTAATAAGTATTTAATAAAATGAAACTTTTGGCACTCTTCTGCCTGTTACATACATTTGTACAGATACTTAATAACCTTTTTACACATTTCCAATCATGTTTTTGAGGTTGGAATTGAATATAATTGAGGGGTTATTTGGCTAAGATAAACCTATCCATACCGCAACCTCAATATCCGAGTCTGTCAATTGCTTGAAAGAATCCCTAAAAATTATAATTTAATTCAGATTTTACTACAATAAGTTGTTTATCTTAAATTAATATTTAATCTTGCCTCTTCGTCTCGATTTTATTTACAGTACACCAGCTGGGAGGGCAATCCAGGCTATCAAAATCAGCAGCAAATTGGTAGAGCTGTGGGGGATCACTACTTCACCTGCCCCACCAATGAGTATGCACAGGCGCTGGCCGAGCGAGGCGCCTCCGTGCATTACTATTACTTTACACACGTGAGTAGTGGGTGGTTTTTGGGTGGTTTGGTTTTTGCTCGGTCCTGGGTAGAAGGCATTGCCACTGCGACAGTGGCCCGTGGCCGCAAATCATTAAATATTTCACAGCCTTTGACACGTAAGACGGCGTCGGAGCGCGTGTGTCCAATCGAAATGCGGTCAAATGGGGCGCCACTAGCGCAAAGCGAACACACACATACAAACACACAAACACATACAAACAGCATGAAGAGTATATACAGAAAAAACTGAAAGTAAACGCAGCCAGGTCCAATTTGTTTGTCATTAAAATTGCACACAAGGCTAATGGCGAGCCGTGCCTCAGGGCTTACCTGCAACAGTAACTGCATCAACAACGGCAACAGCAACAACTGAAACAGAAGCACAAAATGTCCTGATGACTGTCTACATAATTTATATCTGACGGATGGTTGCCAATCCCATAGACTATATAAAAAAGGTAACCAGATGAATGCAGATTTTCAACTTTTCATCATTGTGTAAAACCGGCATTCGACCTTGTAAGCCATATGTATATTAATATATATATATATATATATAATTAAGTTTTACACGTTAGGTTACTATAAAAAAATATATTTCAATTTATTATTTTCACTTAACGGCTACTTTTGTTGAGTACATTCAGATTTGCTTCCCGAATATGAACTGATTTATCTAACTGTTGCGGTCGCTTAGCAAACTTCGCTTTGAGAGAGTTTGAGTCAAAATTGAGTGAAGTTTGAGCTGCGTCAGCAATTATGCGTGGGATAGTACTCTGATGGGAACATTGACAGTGGCGTGATATTTAGGGTGAATTGTTTATGTCTACCAAAGGGGGACAGTTTGATCTTGACCAATGTCGATGTTATCACCAGGCTCTTTGTTTACAATATTAGAAATGTTTATAATTGTGCTTATGCTTATGTGCTAAGATATGTTAAAGGGTGGGTGCGACTATGGATATGTCACTCCCCCAACCATTAGAAAAGTGCCTGTCCTCAGGTGTTTAAGTTTGGATATAGTGTAACATTTTCTTCTTTTACAATTGGTATATCTCCTATTATTGTAGGTGTTTCTTCTACTTTGGGTTTTTTATATTTTATAATTAATTTCTTAGGTATGCTTTTGAACTTATATGTCAAATACAGTGTTAAACTTATTAATATGATTACAAATATGGTTATTGTAATTATCTGGAATACATTGTTAAATTTTGTATGTGCATTTATAATTTGTTTCGTTTGTACAAACGAAAGTGGTTCTAATTTTATAACATCATTGCTTACGTAAATGCTTTGAGTATAATCTAACATATTGTTTGAAATTGAAATTTCATTAATTTGCAATGAACAATTAAAGATTTTTATTATATTGTTTCCTTCTATTGTTATTTCGTTATTTATACAATTATGGTTTAATATAGTTTTTGGTAAATTCCAAGTTAAAATTATATTTGGTTCTATGTAGTTGATTTGAAAATTTTGCAAAATTTTAGTATAACTACATTCTGATGTTATTTGGTTTAAAATTCCTGTTAAACATTCATTATTAATTAATTTTTTTGTTTCTCTGCTATAAACTTTTTTATCTTGGGTAAAATATTTTTCATGAGCTATTTCTGTCAAAATATTATTATTTTCATCCGGGTATGGAATTATTTCGAATACCGGGCTTTTTATTATTTCTCGAGGAATATGGGATATTATCAGTATTTCGTTTGTATCTGATTTAAACCAAGTGGAAGTTTTTGTATTCAACAATTTCTCAGAATTAACATGCAACAAATAGTCATGTTTTAGTAATTTTGGGTTAAAAATTCCTAATCTTGTGAGCTGCATTCCCATCTCAATGTCTTCTATATATTCTGTAAAGTGTTGTAAGTTAAATATAAGGATATCTAATTTCTTTCCTTTTTGTTTCTCTTGATCTAGTTCGTTCATGATTTCTATTCCTTTGTTTATAGCTTCTATTATGTAATTTAATTCGTTAACCTGAACGCTGTTTTCTGCTAAGTTGCTTATTTTTTGTTCAATTTCTGCTTTGTCTTCTTGATTTAATGTTCCAAATAAGTATTTATATGCTGTTCCTACTATGTTAACTAAACCTCTTTTGCTACGTTTGGCTATTTTTAAGCCGTTTATTTCTCTGTTTAATTTTTCTACTAGGTATTCGATTTGTATAAGGTTATTGAATTCTTTACTTTGTTCAATTAAATTGTTAAAAGTTTCTTCGGTTTTTGTTGAGGTTATTTATTAGTTTTTCTTTATTAGCTTGAGTGTCATACTCTGGTGTACCTGCATATATGAATATGTCCGCTGGTGTTCTGTTAGTCGTTTTGTGCTTTGTTTTATGATTGTACGTGTAGAGTATAGTTTCAAATTTTGTAAGTTTATTTTCGACGTCTGAGTCGCTGTTAATGATTCTTAGTTTTTCGTTAACTGTCTTATGAAATCGTTCTACGTCGGATATACCGTTTTTACTAGTGGTTATATTAATATTTACTGCTTCTGATTTTAGCCATAATTGTAAAGCTGTGCACATAAAAGCTGAGTCTTTGTCTGCCTTTATTTCGATGGGTTTACCCATTTGGTTGAACACTTGTAATATAGCTCGTTTGGTTTCTAGCCAGTCTCTACTTTTTATTTCTATTAATGATGCAAATTTTGAATAGATATCAATGCAAGATAAAAATTGTTTATCTCCTACTATGTAAAAATCCATTACATATTTTTCTCGGATATTAGCGATTTCCGGAGTTATTTCGAAAGTTAATTTTGTATCTCTGTGTTCTGTTTTTGCGATGTTGCAAATCTCACATTCATTTATTAGATTTTGAATTAGATTTTGATAATCTGGGAAATAGTGGGTTTCTTTGAACCAATTGATAGTTTTTTCAATTCCTGGATGTAATAATTCTTTGTGCTTTTTTAATATTAATTCTTTGAATTCTGCGTATTAGTCATGTCTTTGTACGTAATTTTTATGTTGGTTTTGTGAAAGTAATTCGTAACTTTTGTTTCGTTCTCGGTTCCTTTTTCAAATTCTATTTGTCGATTATAATAATTAAGTGGTCTTTCTGTGATTTGTAAATGGTTACTGTTGTCTTCTTGAGCACTATGTATTGTTGCTCTTGTGCTAATTGTATCTTCGCCTAAGAAGTTTTCGTTTAATTGAATTCTGGACAGAGCATCTGCCACATAATTTTCTTTTCCTGGGACGTATTTAATTTGGAAATCAAACTCATTTAGCTTGATCTTCCACCTTTGTAATTTCATGTTAGGTTCTTTCATATTATTTAACCAGACGAGTGGTCTGTGATCACTAAGGATTTGAAATTGTCGACCAAAGAGATAGGACCTAAAGTATTTAGTGGCCCAAACGATTGCTAATAATTCTTTTTCAATCGTTGAATAATTTAACTCATGCTCGTTGAGAGTTCTACTTGCATAGCATATAGGCTTATGCTCTTGCGAAAGGACGGCCCCTATTGCCATATTACTCGCGTCTGTAGTTAATGAAAATGGTTTTTCGAAGTTAGGGTATATTAAAATTGGGTCGGATGTTATGAGTACTTTTAGCTTTTCAAACGCTAGCTCGTAGTCTCTGTCTTTTATATTGATTTTTGCTCCCTTTTTTAATTTAAGTGTTAATGGTTTTACTATATTAGCGAAATTTGGTATAAATTTCCTATAGAAACCACATAATCCTAGAAATGATTTAATTTCTTTTGGGGTTTTTGGAATTGGGAATTTGACAATTGCTTGTATCTTGTTGGGATTTGGTTTTATACCCTCAGTTGTGATGATGTGACCGAGAAATTCAGTTTCTTTTCTCATAAACTCGCATTTATCCAACTGTAGTTTTAAGTTAGCTTCTCTAAGCTTCTTAAATACCTTTTGTAGCGACAAAATGTGTTCCTCCAATGAAGTGGAAAAAATAATAATGTCGTCTAAGTAGACCAGACAATCTTTAAAAATTAAATCTTCTAAGAGATTGTTCATACAACGTTGGAACGTTGCAGGTGCATTCTTAAGACCAAATGGCATGCGAGTGTACTCGTAATGGCCATGTTTAGTCGAAAATGCGGTCTTGGGTATTGAACCAGGATCCATTTGGATTTGGTGGAAGCCTTTGGCTAGATCAATGGTTGTGAAATATTGACATTTTCCAAGTTTGTCTAATATTTCATCCATGATCGGGATAGGGTATTTATCATTAATAGTTAGTTCATTGAGATTGCGGTAATCTATGACTAACCGGAATTTTTGCTTTCCAGATGCATCGTTTTTCTTTGGAACGATTATTACTGGTGAGCAGTAAGGGGATTTGGATTTACGTATGATATTTTGTTTTATCATATCGCTTATTTGTTTATTTACTTCCTCATCGTATATTTGAGGATATTTGTATGGACGCTTGTAAATTGGGTCCTCATGTTTCGTTAGAATTTTGTGTTTAATTGTACTAGTGAAAGTCAAATTGTCACCTTCATGGTACTGGATATCACGAAATTCATGTAAAACTTTTTTTATTTTTTCTTTTTCTTCTGAGTTTAGGTGCTCTAGCCTAAACTCATTGTTTTCTATTAATTCATTATTAATAGCGAAGTTAAATGGTCTGTCCTCTGTTGAGGGTGGATCAAGGCACTCTTGTGCGGTCATGTCCTCTTCGACCTCTTCGTCATTATATCTAAAACAAAAGTTAAATTCTCCTAAGGTTACGGATCCTTGTGCATAGTCTATTTTTGCTTGACATGCCTCAAGGTATTCTCTCCCAATCAGAACATCATAATGCTCTGAGAAGTCGTGAATATAGAATTTTTGTTTGCTCGGACAAATTTTGCTTGCTCCTAATCGTATACTTTGTTTTAATTCAATAACACCATTTATGGTGTGAACCTTTAATGTTTCGTTGTAAACTGGAAAATTTAAGCGGTTTGTTTTCATTAGATTTATGGTTGAACCTGTGTCGATGACACATTTTAGAACTTCGTCATT